TAGATAGCTCGGACTGGGATTCGAACCCAGAACCTTCCGAAGACATTTCGGCTACTCTACCATTTGAGCTATCCGGTCTATACTAAATTTCCATTCACTTATTTTATATACATTAAGCCACACCGTCCACCTTACGGCTAGCATTTTTAACAAATATAAATAATGCTGTGAAGCGGGAAAGAATAGGAGCTACGGATAATTATTACGTGAAGCGTTTTTATAGTATACCTTGATATACTACCAAGAAAGATTGCTATCAAAGCATTGGACCGGGTTCGAATCCGGCGTACACCAATGAATATTTTCAATATTTAAGTGTATTATTCTGCTCAGCCCAAGAAATACAAACGAGTTCCAATCTCAAAAGTTTACCCCCTACCGTAGTCGCTCATGACCTTAGTAGTTTATGCGACTTTAAACAAATAAAAAAAAAAAAAATCCATGATAAAAAGGCACAACACGATAACAAGCTTATTATGTGTTGGTAATTTAATTATTTAGGATATTTTGTCCGGGAATATTTATTTTGGGGATATTTTGTCGGAGGATCAAGAATCAAGGAACCTTTCTTCTATTTAGAAATGTGATAGGATATCACGTCCAATTATTGCACATAAAAACATTAAAAATGACAATTTTTGGGATTTCTTTAAATTTTTTCTTTAAATCATTCAAAAAATGAGTATGTTACGTTTGAATTTGAATTCTTTAAAATTCTCAAAAATTTTTTCTACTGTTTCTTTGCAAGATAACTATTGAATTCGATAATTCTTGTCAATTGCATCTGAAAGAGCATATTAAAAATAAGCTTTAATTTCTATATTTATTTTTTTTTTTTATTAAATAATTTAGGAATTACAGCAACTAAAAAATTCCTAAAAATAGCAAAAATTTTCACTTTTACTGTTTTTTCTTGCAATAATATTCGAACGTAATATCCTTAATTTTAATTCTAATTATTTTTCTAAATTAAATAGCTTATGAATTACAACAATTTGTATTACTTATTTTTGAAAATAACTATCAAATTCAAAAACTTGTAAAATTTTTGTAAATTGCATCTGAAAGCTTATTAAATAAGCTTTAATTAGCATACCTAACCATCAGTTTAGACCAAAAATTTAATTCTTCAAAATTCTTTATGGTAACATTTGGTCTACACATTTTTGTCCTTGCGAGGAATTTGTTTTATTATTTCTTTGAAATATGCAGGCCTTAATATCAACGGCTATGCATAAAAAGACCAAATGTTACTGCGGGAGGCATAAGTTTCTGTTGAGATAATATATGGGTACTTTTCAGTCCTGACTTTTTTCTTTTGTTTGGGTTAGATGCTAAGTTTAGTTTGATTTTCAATGTGGACCAGGTAAGGCAAAACTGCCAAAAGAAAAAAGGTTTATTTAAAATTTTAGGCTGGACTGGAATTTTCTTGAATTAGAAAGTCTAATTTTGTTAAAATATTTTAATTATTAATGAAGAAAATTAAACCTAAAATCAATAAAAATTTTATAAATTAGAGAAAAAAAAATTATTTTTACTCCAAAATAATTTTTAGTCTTCCTCAAAATTTAAATAAATTTTTTTTTGCTCTATAAAAAGGATAAAAAACAGTTTTAACTGTAAAAAATTAAAAACAGTGAACAGTAAAACTGTCTAACGAATTATCCGTCAAAACGTCAAAAAAATTTTGAGCTTCCACACAATCAAACACTAGATATAATATACACGATCGAATAAAAAGATAAAAGCAAACTTTTTCCATGTGAATGCACAGACGATTGTAAAGTCAACCCGAATTCTACCTTGAAATAATTAAAAATAAAAATGAATGGACTGAAAAAAGGGTTAAATATATATATATATATATATATATATATATATAAGACTAGAAGGCATAAAAGATTTGTTGGATAAAAAAAGGCAAACCTTATACTATTATACAGCGTGCCACCTGCTCTTCTTAGCTTCTTGCTTTTATTTTTCTTAAACTCAAAAGCAAGGGCCACTTATCCCAGCAACAGCAGCCTCCTTGTTCCACATCTTCATCTCTTCATACTTATAAATATATATGTATACACACAATAAAGTATCTCTGTTTTTAAAATCTTCGTATCGAGACACTGGGCAACATAAATGTAAATATAAATATATAAATATCTTAGCGCTTATATCTGGTAAATGTTTTACTTACGGTCAATTGCCCAGCGCCGCTACCGATTAATTATCCAGATTATCGCGGTACCATTATATATTATACATTATACATATGCATACACATATGTTTACTGCTTGTATACATGCCCTCCACTTCATATCAACCAATGTTCAATCAAAGAGTTAAGTAGATCCTCAGCAGGAGAGACTGCGGTCGATCTAAACAGACGACAATTCAAACATTCGGTGTAAAAAATTCTTTTTTTGCTTCACGTTAGTTAAATTTTTTTATTCATAATGTTATAAAAATAATTTAGTTATTTAAATAATATTAATCATACATTTTAGACAAAAATCATTAGACCATATTTAATTAAAACAAATTTGTTCACAAAAAAATTTAATAAAATAAAAAAAAATTAATTCATAGAATTTTACTTGCCTGAATATTGATTTTTTTAAAGATATAAGCTCATCCCAAGGTTACGCTCATCAAGAGCTTTCATTTGAGTACCCACATGCATTTTTATATATTTTTCATATATTCATATATATAATATATATAAATATATAAAATATATGAAAAATCGATGTAGGTACTCAAATAAAAGGTCTCGATAAGTGTAATGTTGAGATGAGCTTATACCTTTAAAAATATCATTAGTTAACAAGATACAATGTATTTTCTTAACTATTGACGTTTTTAAAGATATAAGCTCATCCTGATGTTACACTC